GATTAAAAATCAAGAGTAATTTCCTGTGCTCGAGTTTGGCAACAGAAGCCATACATAGGGTTATGGGAGATAGGGCATGTTAATGTGCTTTTAGTCTGTTGGATCTATTGTCCTATTTTACTTTGGGGTGATGTTAAGTTTGTTTCTTGGACACCCCCTATATAATGAAGATTCTCTTATTTTTTTTTTTTTTTCTGCATGAATATTTAGGAATAGTAAGTTAATGCATCATTTTACTACAGTTTACTGTAAGAAGTTTACCTGCCACTTTGTTGGAAACAATCAGGAGCCTTTAGTGTATTAATGTGTTCACGTTTCTAAGATTGTGTTTTTTAATGTTTAGTGCTAAAGTATTAAGGATGGTTGAAGAACTGCCCTCTTCACGTTGCTAATTTCTTTCGTAATCTATATGAGAACAATATCCTGGATATAGGGTAATTTAGAATTGAAAGATTTTGTGCTTCCATCGTCGTGCCCCATGTGTGTAGTTGTACCTTTTTGTTTTATTCCCTGCCAAATATGCTATGGTCGCAGCCTTCCTATTTTCTTCCCTCTGCATCATGTTTGTTCATATCATTTTAATTCAAATCCCTCTGTTCTGTCTTTATTGTGTAATCTTTTCTTTGGTCCCCATTTACTTGTCTGTTTCTATCCTATTCTATGACAACAGCTTCTAAGGAACTGTCATTTCGTCTATTGATGCTCACATTTTGTGACACCCATTTTTGCTTTGTTTCTGTTGTATTATTTTCGTTTAGGGTTTTGGGTTGAAGAAACCTTCAGTCTTTGAAACTCTGTACCTTATTTTCGGGCATTAATCCTTGTGCCATGTAGGAAACTGATCTCTATCTTCGTTAGATGGTATCATAATTTGTGGATTCTTTTGTGATAGGAGTTCAATGTCTTCATTTTGTGTAGTTTCTGAGGATGTAGAATATGGGCATGTTAAGTGGGAACTGTAGTCAGCATCTAGGAAGCACCTCCCCCTTATCTAACATCTTTACATCACCATATTAATTTCATGTTTGTCATACTTCCAGTCATATTTTGTGTTGAGAAGTCTCCACTATCTGTTTTCTTCATATGCCATTGGGTCGTAACATATACTGGATTAGTTGCCTTGCAGGTTGATATGCGCGATTTCATAAATGCTCCAAATGGGCTCTCCAAGCAGTCCCGGGATGTAAATGAACGAGTTGAAACTGACCACACTCTGTCTCCACTGGGCGGGAGGACGGTATTACACATTCTAAATGGTGCATGGATGAAATGTGTCATTGGTTCAAGTGCTATTTGTATCATTGAATTTACTCCTTGCAGGATGTCTTTGACTTGCCTTTTCACATGGCTAGAGATCAAATAGAAGAAAATCTTCGAAATAAGATGGCTTCCATAAAGGTAGTTTGTTTTCCATTAATAAATGTTCATCATGTATCTTGCAAAAAGATGAAGTACTGATGGGTTTCGTTTCTTATGTTATAAAGGAGCGCATGGTTCAATTGCAAGATGCACAAAAAGAAGCAGAGGTTACATCTGAAGTAACCGAGAGGGAGCTTGAGCTTGAAGCTCAACTTGTTGAGGCGAGGAGCATAATCCAAGAGCAGGTTTCATCCTTTTGCTCTTATGTATATATAGACTAATGATCTCTGGCGAGATATTTTGCATGTTAGTTGCCAGGCTGTGGTTCATGACCACACATTCAATGGTTCTAATAGACTTCTTCTGCATCTCCTCTTGTAAAGTTATAGTTTCCTTTTTACTTTTAAGAAGCTGAATCTCCAACTTTCTGGTTCTGTTTCTGTTTCAAATGCTAGAATTTCTTTGGGAATTTATATACCCGTTCAACAATGTTATCTTACCATTCAGTTTGTGCAAGTAGTGGACTAGGCATTTTCCAGTTCAGTGATGTAATTCTGCTGTTTATTATGTTTTTGGTTGAGGATAAACATAGAAAATTGGTTTTATTGCAGGCATCCATAATGGCTAAACAATTGGCTAAGTCCGAGAGGCCAAGGTATTCCCCTTGTCCCATTTACTCTTTCTTTTAAGTAGATATTTATATGGTTATATATTATGTAGGAATCTGAATGGCAGCCATTTTAATTCTGGCGGGGAATCTAATATTTCATCACCTGCTGAGGTAAAAATAAGATACTTATACAAACTTCTTCTAATTCTTAGGTTTGAAAATGGTGATTCGGGTTTTCAAATTCACATATATTCTTGTAGAGTTTCCCCACATATTTCTATGTTCCACAAGTCTTATGTACAAACTTAAAAACCACACAAGTTAGAGAACTTGATTACTTTTTACCACTAGATCGTTCATCCCCGTGCTTTTTGATATGTCAGCCTCCATCTTCCTGTGTGTGTGAGAGATACTTTTCATACTGCGATAGTTTTAGATTCCTCTCATGTTGCAGTCTAGACTTATTTCAAACGGTTGCTTCTTGGCAAAGAACCTTAAGCATCACCTTAGAATAGAGCAACGTAATAAAAAGATTATGCAAAGAAACTAACGAAGATGTCACCTACGTATTCTTAGCAGTAGGTCTGATGTTCTTCTCGATTTGATGTTCTTCTCGATTTGATGTTCAGGGGGTAAGAAACTAACGAACCTGGTGACACCGAATTCTTTTGGCCAATGTCAAAGATTGTTGAAGCTGGCTGTAGTATGGTGAGATAAATGACAATAAGCATGTAAACTATTCTGTACTTGCTTTCCGACCGAAGTATTCCGAACACTCATTCCGCGACTGTAACGTAGAAGACTGTTAATCTGTATTGCCAATGTAATTATTATCTAGCTTTCCTTGTGGATATATGCCTCAAGCAGTTTAATCGAGTTTTACGATTACCTTTGACCTGAGATATCATAGTTGTCTTGTTGTTTCATAGTCCTCTCACTTTCCTAGATCTCTCATTTATTCCAATCTAAGTAGGATTGCCGTGTGGGATGATACGGCTGCAATTTTATGAAGCACGGCATCAGATAATGAAGCATGCAAGATGGGGGAATTATCACGACCGAATATCCTGGCAGGATGCAAGTATTTTAATTAGATGGGATAAAGCAATTGCATGCGTTATCACATGTACGGAAAATAGGGATTGCAAGACTTGGAGCTAAAATGGGAGTCTATCAGGTTGCTACAAAGGAACATTGGGCTTTTTGAATGATGGTGAGGTGACAACAATCAGATAATTGACCTTTGGTCTTTTATGCTAAATGATTTAGCATATTGGCATATGCTTTTACGCCGTGAGTCAGCGTGTAGACTTTTATGAAGCTAGATTCACTCAGTATGAATGTTGATAAGGATTGCTCAATAAGATTATCAAACAGTGGTTGATTATCCATTAGTATCAAGACGTGATTTATTATGAGTCCCTCCAATTCAACACACAACTGCCCTGCGTAAACCTCTCAAACACCTTGAGATTTTTATTTTCTTTTTCTTGCTAACACATTTTCAGTTTGGATAAATAGCACTGAACAACACTGGAGTCGTAGAATCAATCGGCTAAGGAGCACCTTTAGTTTAGATAAACAACACTGCTTTGAGACCGACTGGTTATTTATCTAAGTCTTGGTCAGCAAGGATTTTCGAGTCTTTGTTGGAAGAGGTCATCTTATCAGTCTTCTCGGCGAAGTGAGGTGTTACCAGATTACTACATTTAGCACACTGAAAGTTGAATTTATTATTGAACTTCGCAGAACTAGCAACCTTGTCTTCAGGCTCTAGAACCCGAAGGCAAAGATGTGTTCCCTCCTCAGTCGTAGTGGCGAGATCAAGAAGTCAGCAGTGCGCTCAACGCCACATCAACATATTTTACTTTCCGGCTGAACTCGGTTGACGAGTTGGCACGTTCTGCATTCAACTGAATGACGTAGTTAGCTCATTAAATACTTGGTCTGCGCGTCACGTAGGCTAAGTAGTTTTTAAAGTCAAAACATAGTCCAACCCAAACCATTTTCTTTGTATGAATTTTTATTTTAATACTAATCACAGCAATTAAGTTCTCACATCACCTTCATCAGTGGAGATATTAATGGGATGACGGAGGATTACAGCCTTTTTGAGTAGTCCATAAGTTTAATGGAGTGGAATCCAGTTTCTTAATGTAGTTTGGTTAACTGATTTCTCTCTAATCTCCTTAATTAAGTAATATAACCATTCTACCTTTCCAAAACACCCAATTGTAAAATGCAAGAAACACAAAACATGAAAAGTCAACTTCATACGTGATTTTATGGTTCATTGAATCAATGATGCTTTACAACCACAATTGATTCTTCTTGTTTTTCAACACAAAACGGGGGTTATTTCTAACTTTCTAGACTACTAGATAATACGTGCATTAGTAACATATTGTGGTGTTGTGTAAAAATTCTCTTGTGCGTATGGGTTGTGCGCAGGAGTTCCGAATGACTTAGTAACGACGATATTGCAACCAAATATCAATGTTATGTTAACGATGCTCATTTTCGTTAGATTGTTCTTGTCACTGACCACAAACAACGCTTGTGTGTGCGTGTGTGATTACTTTCCAACTTTCTAATCAACTTTCTAGATTTCTGGATAACATGTAAACGCATTGGCACAATGTGATTGCGACACTCAAAATTTTCCTCCAATAATTGTCAATTTATTTCCTTTTTAGGTAATTAATTGGCATATGCAAAATATGTTAATGCATGAAGTGGTAAATAAGAAGCAAAGGTGACTTGTCTTAAGAGTTTGGTAAAGCACATGCAAGATAGGCCGCCCAACACCAATGGAGCTTTGATTGGATGCATGTTTAACGTAAGCTTAAGAATAAAGGTAAAATTCCTCTTTCTCTTTGCCTTCCTTCCTTACCTATATCACTTGCAATATTCAAATAAATTACAAATAAATTAACTTAAATCTACTTTTTGGATTGTTAATCAATCTTCAATAATCAAAACAAGAGGATCATGCACCCCAAGACACCATCACATGCCTTCAAAACCGGATTCAAATCTCTCTATATTTATACACTACCATTCTATAAACATAATACTTCCATTAAACTTCTCATCATTGCCTCGAAAACCCAGAAAACCAAACTGCAAAACACATCGATTCAAGTCCTCAATTTCGTTCCAAATAATGGGTTATGAACCTAGAAGGAAAATGGAAACGAAGGGAGTTTCGGCGCTTGGAGGGGATCAAGAGTTTTTGTTCAACAGAAACCTCTCAAGAAACTCCTCATCCTCATTGGGTTGCTCTTCTAGGGTTTATTACTGTAGGAGCACTGAAGGGGTTCCATTTAACTGGGAAATGCAGCCAGGAACACCGCGGAACCCTCCGAAAGAAGAAGTGATTCCACCGATAAGTCCTCCCCCGGCTGTGCTCAGCTTAGGGCTACCCAACCCCTGCATTGATCAACATCCTCGTAGTAATAAGCCTCCAACAAGCCCTCTGCATAGGCTCAAGTTTTGGACAAAAAAAAGTAAGAAAAATAAACAACGTAAGAATAATTTTCAACACAACGTTAATGTTGTTGGTGAGTCAGATAAGTTTGATAAGGTCGAGTTTTGCAGCTCTGACTCTGAGTTCATGGCATCATCAACTTCGCCTCGGAACTCAAGCTCTTCATTTTCATCCTCGTTTTCCTTTTCGAAAGGGCAGTGCGCGAGTTTAAGGAGTACTCCGGCAAGGGATTTGTTCACTAGTTCTGGTCATTTCAGCTGCAGTCCTTGGAAATTTAGCTAGCTTCTCACTAGTGCTGGAAGGCGAGTTTGATACAGCGTGTCGTTAAGTTTTGCATTATGGTTTGTAATATACTATACATTTGTTCGTTTCTAGCAAGGTTCTTTATTAAATTCTGACTTAATTCTTAGCCATCTAGATGTTATTACGGTTAATAAAAAGTAATGTTAGGGAGACTAAATTTGTAAACTAAATGACATGAAAATTGGTGATTGGATTATTACTTAATCGTTGATAAATGTGCTTATTTTTTATTAGTGACAACTCATTTGGTTTGCTAATTTAGTTTACAAATTTAGTCTCTCTAGTAGTACTTGTGTTGAGCAAAAAAAAAGAGCGGGGAGTCTGATGCATTGAAAAACAATAATCGTCATGCATGTTGGATTACAAAGAGGCAAAGTCCAAATGTCATTAAAAAAAATTGTCATGCATGCCTGATTACGAAGAAGCCAATTCTATCAAAAACTATATTTGTTTATAGGTGCTGCACAACAGCTGTACTTGACCAAAAGTTAAAAGCAACAACCATGCTTGAATAATGGTACAGTTATCTACTGAAAAGTATACCCCTTGTCTCCCATCTTGGAAGGATTTGATTTGTCATGAATCCACTGTACGAGCCGAAGAAAGGACTAATCACTAGTCTTTTGCATGAATTTGGATGCATGTGTGGAACAAAAAAAATAAAAAATAAAAAAATAAAGATGCATAAAGCTGCACATCAAAACTAAAAGGATAAAAAATCCCACCATTTTGTACAAAGATATCAGGCAAGCACCCAAGGCAAAGAGTCTCCACCAAAAGACACTTGCAACAAATCAAGAATAAAAAATAATATATCAAATGAAGTTGCGGAATGTTCATTCAAATCCAAGCGAAACGAAAAAGTATGAAGCTTTACTGACCGTTATGTTCTTCTCTCCAAAAAAATAACGAACAGTAAAGAATGGTACGGGAAAAGCTTGTGCGGAAGAACTGATCAAAAGAAGTTCAAAAAGGGTTTGGAACCCCTAAAATGGGGGAATTCGAATTCTTTTCTCTATTAGCCACCTAGCATGAGATAAACCCCTAAATAAAAAATAATAAAATAAAATAAAGAGAAGTTCGCAACAAACAAACTTCTCAAAAGAAAATAAGAATGCTACCCACGTGAAGAGTTTAGACTTGGAAATCCAAGTCGTACAACGCATGCATATAATGTCCCCCATCAAATTAAATTTTTCTTTCAAACAATTTGCCACACCAAGACGAGACGACTTCACTTTCGGTCAGAGAGAAGTAACGTGGAACAAGGACTTCCTATTTTTTCTACAAAATGTGGGAGATTGCACAGTTAGTGGGAGAGGTTAAGAGAAAGTGGTGAAAGACATGGCCACTATCTCCCCCACGTAAAAGCTCTCGAAGCCCTCCTAGGATGCCTATAAATAGGCATTAGCTGCTATCAGAAGAGGGGAACGAACAAAAAAACAAAAAAAAAAAAAAAGAGAAGAGACTTTGCAGAAATTAGGAGAGAAATCAAAGAGGTGAACTGCTGCGGAAATTCAACGAGAAAAGGCAAACAGAGAAGAGGATACACAACACAGGAGCAGGAAAAGCTACAAAGCATTCAAAGGTATAGCCATTTCATTCTTTTTAATCTCTTTCTGGGTTGGTTCTTTCTTCTGCTTTGTAGGAGGAAAAGAAGCACTTTGCTTCTTCAACCTTGTTCATTCCCCAACACAAGGAAAAAAATGAGCTATAAAAAGTCCAAAAGCAACCACCGACGCAAGTCCGTCTGAACAACCATCAACGTCCACGCCGCAAATTCAAGTCGTCAATCACTAACATTTCGACAAACACCAATAAAGACATTTGCAGCACATGCACTGACGTTAAATGGAAAACCAAAACGACGTAGCAGCCATGCCGCAGTCCTCCTCCCTCTCTGCCCAACTTGCCGCTGCGATGCCGCCGAACACCACCACTTCACACAACACCAACGGCCACAGCAGCCACGCCGTCCTCCAGCCTAGCGTCATAGCATGCTCCATTTTCTTGTCGACGACGTAAAAGAAGGTGGCCATGAATGAAGTCCTTTGCCATGAGAACAACAACCGCAGTGGTTGCTAAAGTTGAAATGGTTGCTGCTTCGTTTTAGAAGCTCAGTTCAAAGAATTTGGCGATTGCTGCTGCTCCGTTTTAGGAGCTCAGTCCAAAAGAATTTGGTGGTTGCTGTTGCTGCGTTTTAGGAGCTCAATTCGAAGTTGAAATGGTTGCTGCTGCTCCGTTTTAGAAGCTCATTTCGAAGAATTTGGCTGTTACTGCTACTCCTTTTTAGGAGCTTATTGGAATGTCCGAGTGAAGAGGAATATGACTCAAAGAATTTGACACAAAATTAGAGAAGGAAGTCACACCAAAAAGAAGGATGCTTCCAGCAAAGAAAAGAAAACAAACCCTGTCACCATCGTCGTCTTAAAATTAAGAAGAAATAGAGGTTGCTGGCAAAAAAAAAAAGAAGAAGAAGAAGCAAAATCTTCAAAAAAAAGGAGAAAATAAAGCTTGGTGAAGGACACTCATGTAAGAGTCAAAAAAAAGGAAAAGCCATCTCAAAGATTTTTTTTACAAAGTTGCTGTGCTACTCTGCCACTTGCTTTTATGTTTTCATTAAACAATATGAAAACAAAGACTCGTTAAGTCTGCAATCTGTTGTGCAAGAGACAAAAGTCAATAACAAAAAGAAAGAGAGCAAGCATGGAAACGAAGTGCCAAAGGTACCAAAACCGAGAAGAAGAAAGAGGAAACAATGGATTATTCTACTACATCCACTGGGTAGTTTTAAAAATTCAAAGGAAAAGACCAAGTCAAACGAGTCTTTCACAATGGAAAAGGCTCCAACTTTCATGCTTTTAGACTCCTATTTCAACTAGGATTAAAATCCTACAAAATCCGATGGCCTCCATCAAGTTAAAATTAAACATGGAGCAAGAAATGATACCAAGCCAAAGATACTACACGAAGCCAAAGTCAAAATATTAGTGAATTAATTTCACTTAGGCACTCAAATGGCACAAAGCAGCGCTCCAAATTCAACTGGGATAAAGCCACAACAAGTTTCAAAAGGGCACAAAGCCGTATCAAATCTCAAATGGCATGAAGCTGTATCAAGTATCAGAAGGCACGAAGCCGTAAGAAGACTTAAATGGCACGAAGCTACATATTGCTCCTCGCCAGCATGAGCTAAAACTGCACAAGACATCAAAAGCTCCAATGGCTTAAAGTCCTCGCCTACAAGAGCCTAAACTGCACAAGGCATCAAAAGCTCCAATGGCAAAGTCCTCACCCGGATGAGCTAAAACTGCACAAGGCATCAAATCCAAACAACTATCAAGCATACAAGGAACTACGAGTGACTTAATCCCTCAATGAGGGTACGTAGGCAATCTAGGGCTCTACCTAGATGCAGTCATAAAATCAAATAAACACCCAAATCCTCAAGTTACGATTTATTCATATTAGAATCAAAGGGTATTCCTTTCCCAAAAGAAAGGTTGTAATTAATAGGCGCATAGCCTAGGATGGGTCGAACTCAAACTAATAAAACCCTCTTCGAAAAAATGAATGAGGGTGAAATTGTGTTGAGTGAATTATTTGTTTATATATTATGTACAATTTTTGCTCAACATGATTTTGGCATGCCCAGTGGGACCCATTTTCCCTTTCATCTCTAATTTCAAAGATAATTAATGTGCTATGTTTTTTGTTTTTTGTAACAGGAAACATGGCGCCACAAGTTACTGTTTACTTCCACAAATTCCCTGCTGCTGAATCTAAACTTGGATGTGGAAGGCATGCTAGTCACCGAATCTCATTCACCATTGATCAAGCACCAACTAATTACAGCATGGTGAAGAAAAACGTAGTGACAAAAACAAGCAAGGTGGCTATTAAAGTCATCAAAGTTGGACCGAAGAAATGCCCGTCCAAGAACGCCCTGAGGAACACAAGGAAGAGAGCGACACGAGCTCTTAGGAAGAAGATCGCTAGGGAGCGTGTACTTGAAGATATCGAAATCATCTCAAGGGAGCTTCTTGAAGCTATTTCATCCAAGGACACCAAGGTGCCTCGACGCAAGATCGTCAAAGTAACATCATCACCGCCTATCAAGGTTCCTATCATCACTCAAATCATGATCGGAACAATCCTGGTCACTCTATATACAACGGAGTCAGTCATGATGACCTCCATTGAGGAAGATGAAGAAATTCTACCAATAGTGTCCGAAAATGTTCAACAAAAGGCCAAGGCCTACGAACTTGTCGAGGAAGGTAATAACATTCAACTCGAGGGGCCTATCACACGTGCAAGGGCCCGAGCATTGGCAATCCACTCTCCTGAGAGTTCATCTTCCCTTAGAGACACTCTTGGAGGAAACAAATCTTTTTCCCAAGAAGAGATTCCTAGAGTAATGACTCAATTCCAAAGGTTGGAGATAAATGAAGATTTCGACTCTGAGAACATGCAAGTTCTGATGACTGGCGCATCAAATACAGAAGAACAACTGCTAGAAATGCAACGAAAACTAGCAGAAAAAGAAACAGAAATGGCAGCTTTGGTAGCTGATAAGGAAACTGAAATTGTGACTTTAGCAGCTCAATTAGCCGTTCAAGCTAGCATAAATAATGTTGTGGATAGAGCAAGGAAAGAAATAGAGGGAGAAAGTTCCGGTGCTAACTCACGCATCAAGATATCGATGCAATTTTTGCTGAAAAGATTCATGAATTTCAAATGTCTTTAACAACACCAATTCTTGGATACCGGAAGCCCTATCCAACTCATTATGATGCAGTGCCATTTCCCCGAGGGTATAAAAAACCAAGCTTTGATAGATTTGATGGTTTGAGTGGCTTTCCTCAAGAACACTTAGCTCATTTTTACTCAGCTTATGGGGAAACATCGCAGTCAGATCCCTTATTGGTTTGGCAGTTTGTTCAGTCACTCAAAGGGTCTGTTTTCACATGGTACACTCAGAGCCATGATCTATTTTAACATGGGATGATATGCAAAGAGCTTTTCTGGCTCAATTTGTTAGTTCAAAGAAAAAAGTCACACTAATGGATTTGGCTCAAACGACACAAAGGCCCGGAGAAAGCGCGAGCGAATTCATTACAAGATGGAGGAGCCTTAACCTACAATGCATGGAAAAGATTTCTGATTTTTTTGCAATGCAAATATGTTACAACAACTTCATCCCTGAGATTGCAACATTTGTAGGAATTGTGGAGCCTTGAACTTTCGACGAGTTGGTATCCAAGGCAAGTAATGTGGAGAAGCAGATGTCCCAGAAAAATGTGATTAGAAAAATGATCCAAGACTTAGAAAAGAAATCTGACACCAAGAAAGGAGATAACAAAAGAACGCCAAAGAAGGGAGATTCTATGGCGATATTTGTCAAAGTAGACAAGAAAAGTGACAATGTAAAAAGAAAACAAGAAACCAAAGGGGCGAGGAGGCTTTTGCTTAAGGAAAGAAAAGAAGTTAAATATAGTTTTAATGATGAAGATGTTGGAACTATCTTCGATGAACTCCTTGCAGCAAAGATGATCACGCTTCCTGAACCAAAGCGTCCCGCTGAAGTAAATAAGATCGATGATCCAAAGTATTGTCAATATCATCGACTTATCAGCCATACGATAGAGGATTGTTATATCCTTAAGGATATAATTCAAGAAAAGATCAACAAGCATGAGATTGAAGTTGATTCATCTTCGAAACATCAAACGGCAACGTCCAACATGATCGAAGGAAAATCAACACCCTCTACTCCATTACCAGAAAGGTCAATCCCTGTAGGATTCCATGTCGATAATGAAACCATAGTTGTCCATGCTTATCCTGACATGCCTCGTTCTGGAAATCCAAAAATTCCAACTCTGTACGAGCTCATGACGACACCAAGTTTTGATTTTTGGGAGGATTCGTCATCACTTGAATTCGAAGATGAGTGGCAAAGCGTCTGTGAAAAGAAGGTGAAAAAGATTGCTAAACGTCTTTCTTCCACAAAGCGATCAAAATGAAAATTATGGAGTGGACCACCCTCAAAGGATGGAAAGAAAAAGAAGAAGAATACTCAGAGAAGGCCTAAACTCTTTCAAGATGATGAGTATAAGCAGCCTTTCAGAGCACCAATAACCCTCGGAGACTACCTCCTTCCAAAACTTATTAAAAATAAGGGAAGTGAGGAAGAAATTGGAAATTGTCGCACGACCTCATGTGAAATCCACAATGATGATGAGGTAGATGAAATAACTCTACGCTCTGGCCAAAGGATCGTGTCTGCGGACAAGAAAAGAGGAAAATAAGTAGTTGATTTAGTCAAACATTCCGATAAACCAAGTGCAAGACAAGTTCCAATCATTACCACTGCAGAGCCTGCAGTAGAAATTTCAATCTCAACCACAAAAGCAAATACCTCTAAGAGACATGCAAAAGATGTACCATAGTCCCAAAATGACCAATATGACATCGTCGACCATCTTAAGCGCATTCCATCTCTTATCAGTGTGTACGATGCTCTGAAAATGTCAAAAGAGCTTAGAGAAGCACTCATTATGGCTTTGACAAATCCTGAAGTATTTGAAACAAACTTCAAATTTGCAGAAGTAAATACAACGTTGCCAAATCAGATCTTGCTTGATTATAGATCAGCAGTAAACCTGCTTCCTCTTCGAACACTTCGAGTTTGAGGATGAATGTTCGTCAACTAACACCATCAATGCTAACTATTCAGGGCTTCAATCAAGTGGGACAAAAAGCAATGGGAACGATAGCATTACAAATGAAGATAAGAGAGTTGTACTCTGACGCCCTTTTCCATGTAATCGATGCTAACACATCTTACAATGTTTTATTAGGGCGTCCGTGGCTTCATACATATGGTGTTGTTCCATTTACACTCCATTAATGCTTCAAGTTTTTGGTGAATGGCGAAGTTAAGAAAGGTCTAGCGGACACCGACCCATTTAGGGGTGAGGAGGTGAATTATACAGATGCAAAATTCTACAAACAGTCAAAGGTCACTTTTTCACAACCAACAAAAGATGAAGTAATGCAGAAAGAATCACAATCACTAACTATGGAAAAGGCAAAGTCGTCGAGGTTGGTCAAAATTGCGAGTTCTAAAACTCCAAAGTCCCGAAAAGTAATTCTCAATCGCTCGTTAAAAGATCGAAGAGAACCTAAAAAGAAAGCAATGGAACAAATCCAAAATGCATTTGAAGCACTCATGACCAGCTACACGAAGCCTTTGCGCAGAATCAACCAATCAATTCCTAGAGGCAGTTTGATAGTCTTAACAAATCTGCAAAGGAATTATGGTTGACATGGTCGCATTGTTTCGTTCAAAAGAAATGAGTCCTCGTCAAAAGTTCCATTAAAGATAAAAGCGAAGAGGCATAAAGCTAAAAAGAGTGCTATCAATGTCACAGTACATCAAGGAAATGGAATGCTCAAAGCATTTGTCTTAGAAACCAAGAATCATGAGTTGGAAGGCTTTACTAATCTCGAGAAAGTAATATTGACTGAAGAAGAATCCAGCAGCAAGCCACCTCGAGTTTTTGTCTTCCAACGACTTGGTAAAATCACCAACTCTCAATCTAAGAATTCTCATAAAAGCAAAAAGTGGAGAGTCAAAAGCCAAAAGGTGAAGATAAACCGAACAAAAATAATAATGCACAAGAAGAGGAATGAGATGTTGTTCAAGTTAGTATGATCGGTAGCAAAAAAAGAAACAAGGAATCTGATAACGAGCCAATTGAGCCTGTTAGACAGTTCCCCACCTGCTTTCCTGTCAAAAAGAAAAATGGGCAAAGTCGTATTTGCGCAAGCTTCAAAACCCACAACAATGCACCGCCACTTCTAGAAAGTGAAGTTTATGGAATGGATGAGGAATCAAGCACAAAAGAATAGGTTCATAATGTTACTCAAGTAAACTGCATCACCATTGAAGATGAAAAAGATGAGAATGGTGATAACTCAACCGAGTTTATTGACAACGCTCATCCGGCACCGCCTCAAATAGAAGATGGGGGGTAAGCCACTGTGGATGAACTCCGAGAAATCAATCTCGGAACAGATGACGAGCCAAAGCCTATATTTGTAAGTGCCTTAATAACATCGAAAGAATTAGAAGATTACAAATGTCTTCTCCAAGATTACCGAGATGTGTTTGCATAGGGTTATCAAGATATGCCTGGTCTAGACACTAAGGTGGCAGTTCATAGATTAGCTGTATCAAAAGAAAGGCGTTATGTTAAACAGGCACCACGTCATTTTCGACCTGAGCTTGAAGTACAAATTAAGGCTGAAATTGACAAACTAATAGACGTTGGGTTTATCAGGGAAGTGCAGTACCCTACATGGCTCGCCAGTATTGTACCAGTAAAGAAGAAAAATGGATAAATTCGTGTTTGCATAGATTTCAGAGATCTTAATGACGCATGTCCAAAAGACGAGTTCCCGCTTCCAACAACTGAATTATTGGTAGACGCCACAACCGGTTTTGAGGCTTTATCTTTCATGGATGGATTCTCAAGGTACAATCAAATTAAAATGGCACCTGAAGACGAAGAACTTACAACATTCCGCACTTCGAAAGGAATCTACTGTTACACTGTAATGCCGTTTGGACTAAAAAATGCAAGAACCACATACCAAAGAGCCATGACAGTCATTTTCAATGATATGTTACATAGCACCATCGAATGTTATGTGGACGATCTTGTCATCAAAACAAGAAAAAGGGAACGTCGTTTGAACGACTTAAAGAAAGTCTTTGACAGACTTCGAAAACATCAATTAAAGATGAATCCTTTGAAATGCGCATTTGGAGTGACATTTGGAAAATTTCTTGGCTTTGTGGGAAGGTACCGAGGAGTCGAAGTCAACCTTTCAAAAATCAAGGCAATTATGGAAATGCCTCCTCTTCGAAACCTGGGAGAACTACAAGGACTACAAGGAAGACTGGCATACATCAGGAGATTCATTTCAAACTTATCTGGGAGATGTTAACCATTCACAAGGTTGATGAAAAAGGATGTGCCTTTCGTGTGGGATGACGCATGTCAAAACGCTCTCAGCAGCATTAAAGAATATCTTTTGAAACCCTTGGTGTTGATGGCTCCAATTAAAGGGAAACCTTTAATTTTGTATATTGCAGCACTTGAACGTTCACTGGGGGCAATGCTTGCACAAAACAATGAAGGAGGAAAAGAAAATGCGCTCTACTATTTAAGTCGAACGCTTATAGGGGTCGAGCAAAATTACACCCCTATTGAGAAGGTTTGCTTGGCCTTAGTTTTCGCTGTGCAAAAACTACAACATTACTTACTATCACACAACATTACATTGATATCTAAAGCAGACCTGCTCAGATACTTGATGTCAAAACTAGTGCAATCCGGTCGTCTTGCAAAATGGTCTTTGTTACTATCGGAATTTGAAATTAAGTATATCTCTCAGAAAGCTATAAAAGGACAAGCACTAGCTGATTTCCTAGCAGCTCACCCTATTCCCGACAACATGGAGTTACCGAGTGACTTGCAGGATGAAGAAGTATTCTCGACATACATTTCTCAATGGCAACTTTATTTCAACGGAGCAGCAAGGAAAAAAGGCGTCGGGACAGGTATTGTGTTCATCACATCACGTGGAGGCCTACTCCCGTATTCATTTTCGCTCATGGAGTTATGTTTAAACAATGTGGCAGAATACGAGGCACTCATCATTGGACTTGAAATTGCACTCGAACTACATGTTGATAGCCTTCAAGCTTATGGTGACTCACAACTAATCAACAAGCAAATGAATGGTCAATATGCCGTGAAAAATGAAAATCTAACCTCTTATCATGAAAGAGCAAAACACTTGGTGTCACAATTCCAAGAAATCAACATTGCTCACATTCCTAGGTCTGAAAATAACAAAGTCGATGCGTTGGCAAAGCTAGCAGCATCTTTAACTCTCCCTGAGGAACGAGAAGTCAAAATTACAGTTGGAGAACGACATTTACTTCCTTTAACATTAGAGCGGATTGAAGAAAACCATGAAGTCAATGCGGTTACAGTCCTAGAAGTAGATGAATGTTCTAATTGGCGGCAATCTTTGATTGACTATCTTTAATATGGAAAACTACCAACTGATCCCAAAGGCAGAGTTGATGTATGAAGAAGGGCCAACTGATTTGTGTATCTGAATGACACACTATACAAAAGGTCTTTTGACGGAATATTGCTAAGGTGTTTATCAAAAGAAGAAGTGGCCTATGGTCTCTCCGAAACTCATGCCGATATTTGCGAAGCCCATCAATCTGGACCTAAGCATGCAGCTCAATTGAAAAGACTTGGGTATTACTGGCCTACAATAGTTCAAGATGTGATGAAACATGTGAAGTCATGTCGGGCATGTCAAATACATGGAGACTTCAAGCACCAAAATCCATTACCCCTCAATTCGACCATCTTGTCTTGGCTATTCAATGCATGGGGTTTAGATGTCATAGGCATGATAAACCCAAAATCGTCCCTCCAACATTAGTACATCCTAGCAGGCACAAACTATTTCTCAAAGTGGGCTGAGGCAATACCGTTAAAATAAGTGAAAGCGGAAGATGTTGCAAATTTCATAAAGAAAAACATAATATATTGCTACGGAGTCCCGTCCAAAATAATCTCAGACAATGCTCTCTACTTCAAGTGTAGGGCCATGGTCAATCTTTGGAAAAAGTACAACATTCAACAAGCCTTCTCCGCAAGTTACAACCCAACTGCCAACGGTCAAGCAAAGGCTTTCAACAAAGTGTTGTGCAACATCCTAAAAAAGATGGTGGCAAAGAACAAAAGAGACTAGCATGAACGCCTTCCCGAAGCATTATGGGCCTATAGGACCACCGTCCGTACATCCACCCGATGTACTCCATATAGTTTGGTGTATGGATCAGAGGTTGTGCTACCTTTGGAAATTCAACTGCCTTCCTTAAGAGTAGTCACACAATTGACAAATCCCAAAGAAAATGTAAAAATCAAGCTAGCAGAACTTGAAGCACTTGATGAAAAACGACTTGCAGTACAACAAAGACTTGAAGTCTATTAAGCTCAAGTGGCAGGTGCATTCAACAAAAAGGTTAAGTTTAGATCGTTCTCTGTTGGGGATTTAGTCTTAACCGTTCGAAGACCCGCCGTCATCACCAGAAAGATGCAAGGAAAATTTGAAGCCAAATGGGAAGGACCGTATGTTGTCACCAAAGTCTTCACCAAAGGTGCCTACGAACTCTCTAACGCCAATGGGAAATGCATATACCCATGCGTTAACGGAAAGCTCATGAAGAAGTTCTATGCATAAACAGTGTGAAACGAACTCCGAGAGGGAAGCAAGTGCAGAGGAAGCAAGTCAAGATAAAATCTTTTCCTCTGAACTACGTATGACTTGATTCCTCAAAAAGGGTATGTAGGCAGCCTAGCATTAAAGCTGGGTGCAGTCATAAAAAAATATAAAAACAAAAATAATTCCCAAAATTAAGGGATGAACTATGTTTAGCTTGATCCTTTCACAAGGTACGTAGGTAGTCTAGTTTTATTACTAGATTCAGCCGTAAAAACCACTTTCTTGAAATCAAGGGATAAACTACGTTTGGCTTGATCCCTTCACAGGGTACGTAGGCAATCTGATCCCCAAAATTAGATGCAGCCATAACTCATAAAAAATTATATATTTTTCCTTTAATGGAATTAGCATTTGTTTGAATTGACATATGCTAGTATTTGTTTGAACTCTTCGCATTCGAGAGTTTAAAGCATGGATAGTTTTCACTTATGTAGAATAAAAAAAAATCAAGGCAAAAGTCCAAAAGAAAAAAGGAGTCTAATGCTTTGAAAACAATAGTTGTCATACATACTTGACTACCAAGAAGCTAGGTCCAAATGTCAAAACTATATCGGCTTACGGGTGCTGCACAGCAGCTGTACCCGACTGAAAGGTTAAAACAACAGCTATGTTTGAAAAATGGCGCAGATATCTACAAGGAAACATGCCGTGTAGACTAAAAGCTAAAAACAACCGCTATAGAGAGAGAGAGAGAGAGAGAGAGAGAGAGAGAGAGAGAGAGAGAGAGAGAGAGGTAAGGGTACGGGATTACCAACTAAAGCGTTTAGATATGTATGTGTGTATGTATGTATATAGAGGTAAAGGTACGGCATGCTAAAGCTGAACACAGCACGTAAACTAAGTAAGGGAGATATTTAAAAGAATATGATTTGAATAACATAAAAAAATTCAAATAAATCTCAAACATACTGGGTTCAATAAACCCATTATTATCAACCAAGTTTGCTCAAAAGAGTCTGCGAAAAAGAGGAAAAACCAACATAAATATCCCAAAGAGCAGAAGCGCAAAAACAGAAACAAAACCACATGAATCCTACTCCGGTTTGCTACAAAAGTGGGGCAGGGAAGCAATTGAATTCAAAATTCCTTATTCTGCAGATTTGTTCAATGCTTCGGCACGTTCAACATCCGGGAGAAGTCCTTCATTCGCATCAATCCGGGACTGACGAAGTTCTACATCCAATTTCTTTTGTTGCTCAATTGAAGCTTTAAGGTCACTCACTCGGCGCTTAACAGCAAGTCTTCCAAAATCATATTGTTGACGAAGAACACGAGCAACCTCCTCTGCTTCTTTAACAGGCAATTCTTCAGCTTCAATTTTCTTAAGCTCCTGAATGGAATTGGTTAACTCTGACTCCAAGGCCTTCTTGGTTGACAAACACTCATCATGTCGACGAAACAAATCACGAATCTGATTACCTTGATCAATAATCCTAGCATTATCAGAAATCTACGAAGCTACATATTGCTCCTCGTCAGCATGAGCTAAAACTGCACAAGACATCAAAAACTCTAATGGCTTAAAGTGCTCGCCTGCAAGAGCCTAAACTGCACAAGGCATCAAAAGCTTCAATGGCAAAGTCCTCATCCGCATGCGCTAAAACTGCACAAGACATCAGATCCAAACAAGTATCAAACATACAAGGAATTACGAGTGACTTGATCCCTCACCGAGAGTACGTAGGCAATCTAGGGCTCTACCTAGATGTAGTCACAAAATCAAATAAAAACCCAAATTCTCAAGTTACGATTTATTCATATTAGAATCAAAATGTATTTCTTTCCCAAAAGAAATGTTGTAATTAATAGGCGCGTAGCCTAGAATGGGTCGAACTCAAACTAATAAAACCCTCTTCGAAAAAATGAACGAGGGTGAAATTGTGTCGAGTGAATTATTTGTTTTACATATTATGTACAATTTTTGCTCAATAACTTGATAATAAAATACATGATTTGTATATGGATTTAATGGTTTTTATTTGTTTGGGAGATTAGACTACCAGGGTCTGCCACTAGTTTGCAGTTTAATGATAATCATCTTTACCTAATTTATTATGCTGGCTTAAAATGTGACTTATCCCGAATTTACTACCAAAGACGGAGCCATTATTTTTTTATCGGGTGGGCAGTAATTCTAAGCTACATAACATATTATAAGAGCCTCCCAATATTGTTTCTCTCGTCCACGCCTAAAATGTATATAATGTATAAAAACATATAAATAAAATCTTAATAAACAAAACTCGATTGTACTAAAGTAAAATTTTAATATAATACTTAATTTTAATACAATGAGAATATGTCAAAGACTAAGACAATCAACAAAAAAAGCTCAACAAACATAAAAAACTTAGTAGAATCCTAAATTACGTATCCTAATTTAAGTGCAACATGTGAAACATTAAGGCCTCTTTTGGTACGCTGGCACCAGCTAGGACTAAGAATACAAAACCAGGTGTTTGGTGTCCATATGTATTAAATAGTCACCGGATTAAATAATCCGGTCCCACCTCCTTTATACGGCTTACACCGGCTTGGTTATACGCTAAAAAACACACCGTATTATTTAGTTGGGTAGAAACACGCTCGCTCGCTCGCTTTCTCTGTCCTCTGGTCGCACTCTCTCGTTCCTCTTGCATCAAGAATCTCAGGTTGCTGAAATTTTTCTTCTTCTCACTCTATTCTACCCTCCTATTTTTCTTGAAATTTTCCGCGACAGTTGTTGGTGGGACTGCTAGAAGTAATTGGTGGTGGGGGCAAAGCGGAAGTGGTTAGAGGTGGGTTTCTTGTAGTTCGTGCTGGGCTTCTTCCTTGAGAGCCATTTGGAGGAGCTCGTCCTTGTCCAGGTCGTTGCTGTCACTCTACATTGCTGGAGATTTTGTCCCTCTCTTTCTCTCTCTTTTCACATAGCTATGTATTTACACATTCTACTCAAATTGTCAAAAGTGTTATGGACTGAATTCAGCGATTTCGTCTGAATTTTTTGATTAATTAGTAATTGATATTTTGTTGCGAGGTAATTAAACTCAAAATTGGGAAAGATTTCATTTGGGCTTTTGAAGGAAATTAAAGGTGGTGATGAATCAATGATAGATTTGTAAACTAGGTTTTCTTGGGAAATATTTCAAATTGAGAAAGATGATAAGTTTTGTTGGGAATTGATAATAGGATTTGATGGAAAATGATAGGATTTGAAAATTATGAAATATTTCATTTGGGCAATTTGATCGGGGAAAGATGAAGAAAGGAAGACGACGACCTGGGTTTTTTTTTCCTCTTATTGGCACAACACCAAAAGCAATATAAATAATATGGTCGTTATCCGATATCGCACCAAATATTTGCTAATTTAGTCTGTACTATCCGATGACTATTTATCCTATCCGATTGAAATAGTCAGTACAGTCCGAGCTGCCAAACGAGGCCTAAAGGTTCTTAGTACTTACTCGGGTGAGCTAAGTTGGATTAAATCATTACAATTACTATTGATTTTTCTCATTTACAAAATCTCCCTTGGGCTACAGCCCAAGCTTGCCCTTAAAGGGATTTGTCCCTATCCATTACCTTTTTCATGTACAATTGTTGACCCCAAAAACTACTTAGCATACGTGGCGCGCAGACTGATTAACTAATGAGCTAACTACGTCATTTGGTTGTATGTGGGGCGTGCCAACTTGGCGACTGAATTCAGTTGGTGAGTAAAAGGGATGTGGTGGTGGTGAATGCGCTGCCAACTTTTG